CGCACTTTAACACACAGCACTTCATTGTATTAGTTTTTACGCAGTCTTCAACTCAAAAATCGCTCACAAATTGCAAATTAACACAATTTAAACTGATTTTTCACTTATAATTCAAATTTCTCTTTAGCTGATTTGTAAACAAAGGTTTATTTACAAGTTACCACAACTGTCAAAATCGGCAAAACCAAAGTAGCGGTACCACTGACGGCTCCACCTCTGTTCTCTGCACCGTGATCGCAACTATAGTTACTAGAGCAAAGAGTTCGGAAGCATACAAAATAATTTTAATATGTACAGTGTACATTGCACACGAACGTCGATGCATCGAAAAAGATACATCGATATATAGTAGCAAACATCGATGTTTCCGATGCATCGATATTTTATCTGCATCCTTACCCAACATTTTACAACAGCACTTGCAGAAAAAATTTCCGAAATCGATTTTCGCTATTTAAATTGCAGTCACACCTTGCATCTTTTCTGAAACTGATATCCGAAAAGTGAAAGAAAGATCTTTCTGGCTGTTCACACATCGAAATAAAATTTCTCTTTCTCAATTTGGCTGCGAGTTGTGCTGAAAAGACGGCTCTTTACTTAGGGTTTACACCGGACAATACTGTCATGACAATAGCATTGAGTGCGATTATATTGGTATTTATTATAAAATATAAAAAGTGAAAGTTTATAACAATTAGCAAAAAAGTTGATAAAATATGGTTTTCAGGATTGAAAGTGTTTTACAATCGCATATTATCAGCACAGGTCGATTTTTCAATGCCAACGTTCTGACCACAAATGTGCACCCAATTTTGTTTCAATCACAAGCACTTCATTTTTAAATCATAAATTTGTAATAAATCAAAATTAAAAGCACTCATAAAACACATAACATTACTAAAAAAGCGATAGAAGACGATGTAAACAAAACGGTAAAACATCAAAAAAGCTATGAAAACTTTTTTCTGAAATTCGGTTACAAATATAGCGATGGCCGATTGCGTGATCTCTGGAGTCATTGGTTCATGGTTTATGTGGTTATTTATAGATAAATGTCAAATTAAATGCGAAAAATACAACTCTGCGTAGAAAGATATTTTCGAAGCAACAAATCGCCGTCAAATTTCAGATTGTTCGAAAAGTTCATCGAGTGTGGTTCGGTTGAAGTGGTTTGCGTTCGGTTGTAGAAAATTTAATATCCGTACGCCCCTGATGGAAATAATATCAAGTAAAATATAATAAAAACGTGTGGAAATTATTAAATTAAACACTTTAGTAAGAAGTGTAAGTAAAAAATCATAGGATAATACCATAAATTACGTAAGAAATGTATTGAGTGATCATTGTAGTGCATAACCAAAAAGGTAAAGGTGATTTCATTCACGTCGCAGTGTTGTTGGAATAAAATAATGGAGGGGTAGATAACGAAGAAAAATGGCAGTAGTAGTGAAACATATGAAATAGACAAACAAACAAAGAATGTTGACACAAATAGCGGATAAACTCCAGTGAGTAGCCACAAGATGGCATCATCAACAAAACTAGATTTGCCAAGAAAAGAACGCAAAGGAAATGCGTAATGCAATTAACCAACTGCCTGGTATTGGGGCAACATATATAAGTAAATCTGTGTTCATATGGAATAGTAGTACCTTATGTCGAAAGGCTGGCTTTAGTATAATGCGGCATACGATTGCGAATGACTCACTGGCGCCGAGCCGTTGAAGAACTTTTGGCAAATAAACGTGCAAGAATTAGTTCCGATACTAGCAAGTCAATATTCTTATTAAGTCTTATCAAAAAATTCCTTGTCGTTTAGAAGATAAAGGGAATGCCGCATTATACTAAAGCCAGCTTCTCGACATAAGCTACTATTCCATACGAACACAGCTATATGTACATACATATTTGTATCTACATAAATAGATGGCTGCAGTGCCACTCCCGCTTTCTGGTAGTGTGAATTACCGTATGTATGGGTTTGAGACTTATTTTCAAAAGAACAAGTTACCAAACGCCCACACAGACTATAACTGATCTTTCCGATTTTAGTTCATGCGCTAATGTATATACATATGCACATAGTTCATATGCTTATGATTTTATGGGTTAAAATTGAAGAAACCCAACTGAACGTTCAGACATATTTACATATTGATGTACATATATCTCATACTAGCTAAGAGTAGTTGATTATAGATTCATTGCTTTTTCCAACGCTGCCTCCGTCTTATCGCAGTTGCTTGTTGCTGTTATTTTACTTTCGACGTTATTTGCGGCGCTGTTGCTGGTGGATTCAGTGTTGGCGTTCATCTCGTTTCTGCTGATGCGTGGGCTAAATATAGCTACGCAACCCACCATCGCCAGCATCATTGGGTACATACATATAGTACTTTTATATTGCATACATATTTGTTTATGATTTGTACATAGACTAGTGTGTAAAGTTTATTCACGTGCGCCTTAAAGTTTATAAAAATAGGTAGTCACATCGTTACTCATAGAAGCAAGGTAACCAGTTATCCCATTATATACAGATACCTACTGTGCACTCCATTCTATACGATCATCGGCTTCGATTCGAATCCAGTAATATCCAATTCATCTGTTATTATTTGTAAATTCGTATACTTATTCGATAATTTAAAAATTTATTGCAAATGTTTATTTGAATATTTGCAGATGGTGCTTGGTCCTCGATTTGCTTTTGTAAAATCGACTGCAGAATTCAAGTTCATGGTGTTTCCTATGAGTAACCCTTTCCTGAGTAAAAAAGCGGTGATGTCTATTCCTTATTGAAACGTAAGGGGGGTTCCATTTAATGATTTCCAAAACTCAGAAAAAAAAACATTCTTTTGTAGTTGATCGCACACTGTTGATCACCGGCAAAAACTTCGATAACTTGAAGCAAGTATTATGCTAATGGTGGATGTCGTCTTCATATCTCACCTGACCACAATTCATCCAATTGATGACCTCTCGTAAACTTGTCAAACAAAGCTTCTTAGCTTATTTATTTAATATAAAATAATGACATATGTTATTTACTTACATTATTTATTTCTCCCGAATTACATGTTGTACATACATACGTATGCGTGTGTGTGTGTATAAGTTAAATTCCCCTTGTCCTTGGAGCTTTCATATTATTTAGCTCACCGGTATAAGCTTTTGAAAATCGATTTACTGTTGTTGACCTGACTTCAGATAAAAAAAAATCGCGTTAAAACTATGTAGTTTGCTATTTAACATGCCTTCCGCACCAGGGATGAAAAAGTAGATACAATTGTACCTTTTTCCGACGTTTGATGACTTAAAGGTACACTAGGTACAATCATCTTTTGATCAGATGCATTTTTAGTTTTTTTTTCTTTTTCCATTACCGCTCTAATATATTTACACGGGAGAAGCTTCGCTTTCACTTTGAAGAATAAACAATTCTAAAGAAAAGTCAAAAGGAAGAATTTAAAAAAGTCATATTATGTATTATCTTAAACATCTTACATTGCATTTAGAGCAGCCACTACGAAAAATTAACACTTTACTTAGCTATCCTCAAATTTGTAACTTTTTTCTATTAACAAATTGTCAAATGAGACTAAAAAATGGTCTTTTGATTGATTTAGATCAGAATAGGCCCTCAGGCGTGTACATGCGCTGTTCAAGTTGCTATTTGTATGTTTTTGGCCCATAGGGATAAAGGAAAGAAAGTTGTGTCAAAATATGTCAACAAATTTGGTTGTCAAAATATGGCATAATGAAAACCAGCCTTTATTCGCCCATACAGTTCAGTGTCTAGGATGTTTCCGAATTTCATATTTTCTTTAGATGAGAGCTATTGCTATTTGACCCATATTCGCTTTTGATTTCTATATATTTAAAATGATTTCGAAGTTTGATTATTTTCTCGGATAAATTAGCAGACTTTTCCTGTTGTTTTATAAAAAGCTGGATACAGAAGTATTCTTCGTGTTGTGTTTTCTGTCTTTCTCGCCAATATTTTTCAGTAGTCAAAATTAAGCGAAAACAACGCTTCTCCGATTTCCATTAGACTATAGTCTATAGATATAGGCTCAGTTAAAAAAAAACCTCATCATGTTTAAGGTACATCCATCTTTTGTATTTCTATTTTAAATAAAATTTATAAAAAAACTACAAATGAATGATGTAACTTTTTTTAGGTACAATCTGTCTCATTTAGGTACATTTATTTTATGATATTAGGTGCAATCTGAAATTTCCATTTTTCATCCCTGTTCCGCACAATGCAATTTCGATTTCGAATTTTGTTGTTAGTCAGTGATTGGCGTCAATAGGCGCCCTACCATATTCAGCACTTCCTTTGTGTCTGCGCCAATTAGTCTTATGTTGTCCTACCCTTATTTAGATGCATTTATTCGCTGCCTGATTCTTCCGTCATCCATTTCCTTAATTGAAAATCCATTATGTTACACGGCCACACGTCTAACGCCAATTCACGCAAGCTTAGCATTACTCCTCACTCCTTTCGTCGTCGTTGTCGTGCCGGGCATCCGTAATCGTTTTAATCTCAAATATATACGTACATACTACATATGTACATAAATATTTATATATACATTCATATGTATAAACATAACAAATTACATATATATGTATGTACATATCGTTGCTTTAATATAGAAAAGCCTTAACTCATATGGTCGCTGAAATGCAAAAAGCCGTAACTGACTAAAATGTTTTATTGCTTAAAATAATGTGGGGACTTATAATTCAACGAAATGCATCATAATCAATCAAAAAGGGAATTTAAGATTTTTACTTAGTTACGGATTTTTGTATTTCAGCGACAATGTGAGTTAGGGCCTTTCTATATTAAGGTAATGATATGTGTGTATGAATGTTTATCAGGCTTTCGTAATTTCTTTATATTCTTACATACAAATTTTCGTACATACATATGTACAATGTTTGTATATTTTTATGTACGTTGTGTGATTTCATTTTCTTGGTCACTACCTCTCAATTCGCTTGTTGGCGATGTCCATGGCAGATGACTCACTATTAGCTCACAATTTGATTCATATGAAATCGCGCTGAGTGTCTCAACAAAGTCAACAACAGCAGTGGCGGATAACGTCAGCAGTGCAAGCGAAAATAAATAAAATTAAAAATAAAGTAAAGTAAAATGAAAAATCAAACAACTAACGTGCTATTTATGCCTTAAGCTGTATTTTTACTAATTTATTGAAATTTACAGGTAGAATATAATTTTTTAACTAGCAGGCAAAACAGCTGCGATTATATTAAATTTGTTTGTGTAGGTAAATGGCTTTAAAAGCTAATATGCAAAATAATCGATTTTTTTATTATTTTTTTACAAGTATTTATGCGTCAACTCTTATCTGATTAGTTTGGAAGTTATTTGATAGTAATTGATACAGAAATCTTTTCTTTTTGACTTACATACATATATAGTGGTACTCAAGGAATTAAAATAAAAAGAGTAAGCTGATATTTTGGTAGTGAATGGCGAAAGCGGATTTTCTCCAAACCAAATTTGCAAAGGGATGAAGGAAATTGTTCCGTATACGTCATATCTAGCATGCGGATGCACCTATAGCCAAAAAAGTTATTATTTACTTGCGCTTTGTGTATTTTATTACTCTTCCATATTAGCATTGTTTTTGAACTTTCACTCGCTACAATTTCTCATACGTAATCTTTCTTGGATTAATTTCCTGTTCAATTTACTTATCTATTTATAATTTTAAATTTCAACAGCTTCCAGTCCATTGTTTTCCCTCATTGCACACGACTAGACCGTCTTCAAGCAACGCACATAACGTAATCAATCATGTTGTCACCACACCCCCAAGGCCTACCACCTGCCTCCTTACGGCTGTTAGCTATGCTCTTTGCCACACTCTTCGCCTGCAGCAGCATTTTGTGTGTAGAAGCGCAGCTAGCTGGAAAAATCATACAAGATCCCTGTGTGAACAAGGCATCCTGCCATGAATGTATACAAACACAGAATTGCGCTTGGTGCATGCAACCTGAGCTGGGAGATTCACCACGTTGCTTCAGAAATAGTATACTAAATTATTGCAAGGAGGAATATACCTGGAATCCTCAAACAGAGCAACGAATGGTGATTAACCGCGAATTAACGCGTGGCGGTAATGCAAGCGCTGCCGGTGGTTATGGTTATGGCTATGGTGGTTCTTATGAGTCCGGTTATAGTAGTAGCTCATCGTCCAGTTCGTCGTATGCAGGTGCTTATGGTAGTGCAGCTGCCGCTGCCGCCTCCGGTGCCGCGGGTGCTAGCGGCGAAATTGTGCAAATTAGTCCGCAGCGTGTTAGTCTCAAGTTACGCATTAGTAAGTTGTGTTGAAACTAGGCTTTCTGTCAGGTTACCACAAATACATTGGAACGTACTTTCTTTATAGATCAAATGCACTCCTTGAACATGCGTTACTCACAAGCTGTCGATTACCCTGTTGACTTGTACTATTTGATGGACTTGTCCAAATCTATGGAAGACGATAAGGATAAGCTGTCTGCATTGGGCGATAAACTATCGGAGACTATGCGTAATATTACATCGAACTTCCGTTTAGGCTTCGGTTCATTTGTCGATAAGGTGCTGATGCCATACGTTTCAACTATACCCAAAAAGTAAGTCAAAACATTTTATTATATTTTCTAAAGTGTTATATAGTGCATATATAGTTAAAGTTAAGTTATACATATATAATTTAATTATAATCTTAAAACTCAGAGCTATAGATTTTAGCTGCGCTTAGCCCTAAGATTAAGTTTATTCGGTAAACATTACTTTACCACTTAAAAGTGGACAAGGGTTCTCATAGACCTTCGAGCTCATGCCGAAGAATGCTGGAAATGCTATTTGTGCTAATTATGATACAAAATTTTTAGGTTCCTTACAATAAAAATGAATTGTTTCAACAAGGTTAGCCATTTTCACGAAAGCAATTTAAGTGAAATTTTTTTTGTTTGAATTTAATTCCTATGAAAACTGACAGAAAGAAAAAAAAATCATTTTATACTAAAATTGCTGATCATAACAGCGGTAAATCTTTTAATTTATCACTTTTACCAGGAATTGATGTCAATATGTTGCAGCAAATTTGGAGTGTAGACAGTGGAACGAAAAAAATGTCCATACTTAAAGGTTAAAAATATTTTTCTGTCAGCTTAAAAGTATTTAAAAATATTTGGGGTATTCACACCTGCATGTTTATCTGGTTATGATTTTAGCACAGTTTACAAAAACAAAATACCAACAAAATACCCTCAAGAATATTAATTTGTAACCAGATTAGCTCATAGAAATCATAAGATATCGGAAAAATATTTCCATTAAATTGTAGAAAAAATATATATATTGTCAAAACGCGGCGTGAAAATTAAGCACTTGGCTCGATTTTTTATTATTTTTGTTATTTACACAAGGTGATAGCGGCAGCACAAAAAAAAAAAAAAAAAAAAAANAAAAACTACACTAACAAATTATACGGACGATGACAATCAGAAGACCAAAAACTTACAAAAACCACATCATTTTGACAACCGGCGCAATTGGCCTTGAAATTAGCTGCTCCGGCAAAACCACCTAGTAGGAATTCGCGTTGGGTCAGACTTAAATTTTTTTTTATAGATATTTGGTCTGTTCGATAATCAATGCTAAGTAGGGAAGTGGTAGTTGATTTTGCGGGGAAGTTGCTAATTTTTGTTGAAAAATTTTTCGTTCGCGTGCTGTTTTGGAAATTTTTGTATTTGAGAGATAATTGTTCGTTACTCTCCTGTGAGTTGCTGCTAGATAAATATTACTGGAGATCTATTCGAACAGACCAATCATGTATGTATTTATTAAGAGACTTCAGCATTTTTCGACCGTTTTTTTTGCGTAATATTTTAATCAAACTTGACAAGGGATCAGAAAATGTGTTTCAATACAATATAATATTTTAACCCTTTAAGGGCAGAATTCACAGCGCTTAGTTAAACCATTGTTAACTTAACCATGTCAGGCATTAACTACGCATCGTGAATTTGGCCTTAAATAATTAAAATTGGTAGTTAGAGCGCTATAATTTTCTATGGAACGATGGAACTTATGCCGGACTTCCACTGGGCTTTACGTTACTAAAATTTTAATGACAAAGTGGAGCTTTAAACACCCATATCATTAAGTTAATTAAAATATCCATTAAGGCCCTTTCCAAGTGGTATTTTCTAAAGGTCACACTGTTTTTATTCATTTAAGACATTGACCTAGTGGAACTCGGCTTATTACGTAGTACATGATCGTTCTCTATATACATATGTACATACATACAGTTGTATACGAATTTACGCAGAAAAATATTTAACTGTCGTTTATTTATTTATTTAAATCATAATTATTAAATATTTATTCTTTCTGACACAAAAAGTATCTTATCCTAATTACTATTCTAGATTATTAATTTTCTCTTAATATTAGTAACAACAGTTCACCAAAGTTATATTCTGACTAATACCCTTTCTTTCTTTTTTTTACAATGATTTTCTTGTTCACATTTTGATTGCTATTTGCCGTTAAAATTCGTTTGCCGTTCATTGCAAATTGGTTTCGTATTTGAAAAATGCATTTGTTTTTTTTTTGTTACATTCACCACAAAACATAAACCAATAAACAAATAAAAAATGGATTAAAATAAAATTGCTGCAAAATAAACAAAAAATAAAATCAACATCATTAAAATAAAATAATAATATTAAAAATAACTAACCCAACAACTCTAAAAACAAAAATATTTGCTGCTACTACTACTACTACAACAACAACTCAAAACCCGTTAATAATGCGCTGTAACCACCATATCAACAACAACAATAAATAAAAAATCAACTACCTCCCAACACATCCAACCACTATTAAACAACAAACGACAACTACCAACTACATATCGCTACAAATACAACTCTAACAATCCAATGCAAACAACAACAACAGACTTGAAAGACCCTGCGATGGCTGTGAGGCACCATACGGTTACCGCAACCATATGCCTCTGAGTACAAATACCTCAACGTTCACTGTAAGAATGAATGCTTTGGAGATATTTCGTATTTTTCCTGCTTATTTTAGATTTAATGCTTTTCTGCACTGCTTGCTTGTTTTTAATGCATCTGCTTGTGTTTTTCGTATGATTCTTAAATATACACGCACTTATGTTTTCTATTTACTTACATATGCATGTATGTATGTACGTTTTTCACCGCAGCTTAGCGCTCATAAACGATGATAAATTTAAATTTAATTTTTGGCATATTCAATTTATGCTGTCATGCTCGTATTAACGATTTGTTTTTTAATATTCTATATTTTTCGCTTATATGTACATATATCATATCTTCTGTAGCACTTGTGTGATTTTCTTGTGTTTGGTGGTTAGCTCTCCGTTTGGTTTTGGTGTGTGCTATTGAATATTTACATATTGTGCTTCCCTTGCTTTTATGTCTTTTGCATCTTCAGCTGTTTTGTTATGCAAGAAAAATGTATGGTTTATTTGGGGTTTTTTAGTTATTACTATTTATTATATCTTCCAACATTTGCACAATACATATTTTGGTCAGATAGCGTGCACATCGATTTATACATAAGCGTTTGGTATGGGCACGATCGGTCGCAAATGCCGTTGGCCAACTATGCGATATGTGTAGGTGGTGAATGCCGAAATTTGCTCCAAAGAGATAAAAGCGCAATCAATTTATAAAGTAATAAAGTGATTTTTTTTGCAAGCATAGAGCTAGTTTTTGTAGCGAACAGCGAATGTTAGGCAAATTTTGGCACTCACTCGCTCTACCATCTATATTTGTGCATTAATATGTATTCGTAACTGCACTTTCCACTTCCCTAGTCACTTAAGATCGTAAGTACGTACGTGTTATTCTAAATTGTTAAGTATTCTCATACGTTTACTGATCGCTAGTTTCTACAAAATTCTGTAACCTACATCTATACTCTCACTATACTAAGTATACACATATGTACATACATATTGGCATATATAAGTCATATTTAGGAAACAAAAAATTGTACTACAAAATATTGGCATTGATCATGATATATTATGTGTTATTCTTTCTTTATATCTCTTTCTATCTCTCTGTATTTCGATCACATTTGAATGTCTCGTAAAAAAAATTACCGGAAAATATATATTTTTTAATATGCTCGTGAATACATAAATAAATAACACTATCGATATGTGCTCAAATGACGTGCGTATATACATATAAAATAATATACATACATAGCTTGGAACATCCATGTCCGAATTGTACTGCACCATTCGGCTATCGTAATGTTATGGCTTTAAACACGGATACATATCGATTTTCTGTAAGTTGTTGTCGTAAGTCGTATGTTAAGTTAATAACAAGAATTTAAAGTATTTTTAAAAAAGCTGATTGACAAAATCATGTAATTTGTTTCTTGAGTACTCCGGTTAATTTGCTCTCAGATACTAGTTTTACGCGTCTATACCATACATCGTACACAGCCACGGAAATTCCCACGACAGTCGGGTCTACGCTAATGGAACGAGGCAGATTCATATCTGGCCAAGGACTGCTATTCCAGTCGCCAAAAAGTCTAAAGTTTTTTCTATTTAAATAAGAGATTTTTGTTTTTGCAGTTAGACTTCTTTTGATAGCCTTTTTGGAAAGGGCGTTCCAAAAAGTGGTTTAATTTCGAATTTCTCCTTAATATGCAAAGACCAAAAATGGATTTGGAATTTTGATTGTCAAAATTTTACGGATCTTATGAATGAGGATTCGCTCGCTTTCTTTAATAAATCATTCAATAAATCTCGAAAAAATCTGAGTCCATTGGTTGAAAAGAAAAAAAAGAAAAAAACATGTTAATTCACCAAAAATTATAAATGAAATATTCAAATTTATTTACCAAGTTAATACTTACGGGCATAGGTATGAAAAGTAAAAATAATTTTTGTCAGTCAGCTGCTTTTATTAAAAATGTTACTCAATTGCCTGTTAATTATAAGAAACGTTTGCATACTAAATAATCTGTAATGGGTAAATTTACTAATAATTGCATTGCATGGAAATGGTTTGGCGAGTAGATGGTGGCATGTGCTATTTATATGTATATTCCTTGCATATGACTATATCTTTTATCCCGCTAAACTCAAAGCTTCTGCCAGCATAATACTGTTATTCCATAAAAAAATGGCACACTCTTGATAATTATATTGAAGAAAAAATAAATAAAAATTAACTCTAAAATAGTTTGAAATGCGGTGCTTAATATGTTGCATATTCATATTATAACAGCTCGTTTATGGTTATATATCCCAGTCGATATCAACCACTTCTTAAATACTCACTCAGCAAACAGCAGATTCTTAGCCAAAATAGTTGCATGTAGTTGGGTGGATAAATGAAAACGTGATAAAATGCAGCAACAGCTTTGAAAGCTGGAGTCGCTGGTTCGAGTCACAGTGAACTCGAAAAGAAGTCTCTTGAGGAGGAGTGGTAAAATCCGAAATAGCCGCTATAAATTCTACCACATGTAAATATAGTTATCAATCGTTTCATCTCATTTCCTCTGACATTAGGTTATTAAAAGTATTTTCTGTAAATTCATATCAGCAATATGATCGATATATATTTGTGATTATTATTGGCCCTGCAAACAGTACAATTCTTTGTGCAATAATATTTATCAGTATGTTTACTTTATCCGGCACTGCTGTAACCTAAATAACAATTTTAGATTAGAAAATGTGCTTACCGTGACATCATGGTAGCGCTTATCTCCATGCCGATAAAACAATTTTAAGAGGCAAAATCGAAACCAAATAAATAAATTTAATATTTATAAAAATGCTTTCGACGAATTTTAATTGTCACAAACCTAAATAAAATATAATAAAATGAAAAATTAGATTAACAAATTTATTAATTTGCCAAGAGTGTGCCATTTAAGCTAATAACTTTTCGATAAAAAAAAAAAAAAAATATTGTTTCAAGTACAGTAATGTTTTACCCTATTCAATCAAAATTGCCGCATTTAGTCCGAAGTGAGTGACGCTGCTGTGTCTGGCAACTTGGATGCTCCCGAAGGTGGCTTTGATGCCATAATGCAAGCGATGGTTTGTCGTCAGCAGATCGGCTGGCGTGAGAAAGCGCGTCGCCTACTTGTCTTCTCAACAGATGCTGGCTTCCATTATGCTGGTGATGGCAAGGTAGATAAATGAAAAAAAAAATCACAGTTGAATTAGTTTAATTAAATGTTTCCTTATCTTTCCATTGCCAGCTTGGCGGTGTGATTACCCCCAACGATGGTGAATGTCACTTAAGCTCCGATGGTCTTTACACTCACTCGGTTATACAAGATTATCCCAGCATTTCACAAATCAATCACAAGGTGAAACAAAATTCGATTAACGTTATCTTCGCTGTCACCGCCAATCAGCACTCCGTGTATGAAAAGCTTTCGCAACACATTGAGGGTTCTTCTAGCGCGGTGCTGTCAGAGGATTCATCGAACGTGGTCGATCTGGTACGCTCTGAGTACAGCGTAAGTATTGGGCGGGCATAAAGTATTTTAGCATTTTTTCTTTTAATAGCAACAGCTCCTTTTTTGCAGAAAATCTCCTCATCCATTGAAATGAAGGACAACGCCACTAGTCACGTGAAGGTGACCTATCATTCGGCGTGTCTAAATAGTGGCTCCGAGATACCTACCGCCAAATGCGATGGTCTCAAAGTTGGCGACGTTGTTAACTTCACGGCACAAATCTTGGTCACTTCTTGCCCAACAGATCCACGCGAATGGAATCAAGTCATTCAAATCTATCCAGTTGGTATTAATGAAAGCTTGATAATCGATTTGCAAATGCTCTGCTCGTGTCCATGCGAACGTCCCGGCGCCATAGGCTATGAGGCGCATTCATCCAAATGTAACAATCATGGTACGTTAATGTGTGGCATCTGCGAGTGTGATGACATGCATTTCGGTCACAATTGCGAGTGTTCTACGAGCGATGTGCACACAGGTAAAGATAATGATTTGGGCTGTCGTCCGGATAATACGACACAAGTGGACTGTACCAATCGCGGCACTTGTTTGTGCGGTGTATGCGAGTGTGAGAAACGTCAAAATCCAGAGGAAATTATTTCGGGCAAGTTCTGTGAGTGTGATAACTTTTCTTGCGAACGTCATAAGAACTTGCTTTGCTCTGGACCCGATCATGGCACTTGCGAATGCAATCACTGTGTATGCAAGCCAGGCTGGACGGGTTCTGCGTGTGATTGCCGCGCCTCGAATGATACCTGCATTCCGCCAAATGGTGGTGAAATCTGCTCCGGACATGGCGAATGCGAATGCGGTGTGTGCAAGTAAGTACATGCGCGGTGTTTATATAAAATTATATTTATTAAATTTCGTTGCAGATGTAAATCTACCGACGAGGGCCGATATTCTGGCAAATACTGCGAGAAATGTCCCACTTGTGCAGGACGCTGCCACGAGCTGAAGGATTGTGTGCAATGTCAGATGTACAAGACTGGCCCACTGAAAGACGAGAACGACTGTGCCGTTAATTGCACTGATACTTTTGTGCCCATAGGCGAGGAGAAAATCGTAATTGATGAAGAGAAAGATGAACAGCTTTGTATATTCTATGATGAAGATGACTGCAAATTTACATTTAAATATAGTGAAGTGAACGACAAAATCGAAGTGCACGCACAGCAAGAGCGCGAATGCCCGCCCAAGGTGTTCATGTTGGGCATTGTATTGGGCGTCATAGCCGCTATCGTCTTGGTGGGTCTGGCCATATTGCTTTTGTGGAAATTACTAACAACCATACACGATCGCCGTGAGTTTGCACGCTTCGAGAAGGAGCGCATGAACGCCAAGTGGGATACGGTAAGTTTGAGAAAGGGAATTACACAAAATATCGTAAAATTTTTGGCGTAAAAGGTATATGGGTTTAGATCAGAGTTTTGAATGCGTATATGAGGAAAATGCAGAGACCGCATATCACAATAATATATTTTTGGTGGAATTGTCAGATTCATCGGTTTTTGTGGTGTCACGGCACTGAAATACAACGAACCAGATTTAAAGTAGCCGAACCCTTGCTTAATACAAAAGCAAAAAGTGACTCAGATCTGCATTAGTCTCCTTTGCAGAAATTAGATAAGATAAAAGCTTTAATGCAAAATCTGGTTCAACAGCTAGCTGCGCGCTTTCATTCTCGGTCTTCTCCAACCTTTGTCCGAGGCTAATAACGTACCCGTTCGGAGTTTTTTTTAAATTCCCGGAAAGCTGTATAAATCTCATTTTGCTTTTATTTTTGTTTTTGTCTTAAATTTTGATTTAGGTACCCCGCACATTACGCGCCTAATCATAGTAGAGAAATCGTTATGATATTAATTTTTTATATCTTTTCAGGGTGAGAATCCAATCTACAAACAAGCCACCTCGACTTTCAAGAATCCAATGTACGCTGGCAAGTAAAGTACTTTAATGGCTTTTGCAGCAGAGCCGGGGAAGGAGCTGTAAACTAATTAATACATATTTGCTCGGGCAATGTTGCATTGTTTGAGTTACGAATTTCTCTCTAATTGCCATACGTTAAGGAGTTTATGTCAAACGGAGCGTGCATCTAAGTGAAAAGTAAAGAAAAATATTTATTACAGAAAGGAACGCATATGTATATCTTAAGCTCTTTTTGTTTAGTATTTATGCGCACCTAAATGTGTGTATTTAAGTGCACGTAAATGTTGTGTGCTTTAGCATGTGTAGTGAAGGTATTTTCTAAACAGTATACTGCCATTAATATATACATATTCACAAATTTAAATGAAAGAGACTTAACAACAAATAATGAATGTGCCTTGGAAATAGACATACTTATGCACCTACAGTGAAATTTTTTGAAAAAAGAAACAAGTTTTATACTCTACAATTTACCTATTCCGATGGCATATATCAAATACAGTAAGCAAAACACATGCAAACAAATTATAAACTTTGAAAGCCACATATGCAAGCATTGCCTGTTTGCAACAAAAAGAATTCGCACACATAAACGAAAATCCATGAAATTGTTAACGAAACACAAAACGAGTTAATGTTTCATAATACATTTTGTAACGATGATATTGCCTAAAATTATTACTACGAGCGTGCCTACTAAACATGTTTTTACTTAAAGTGAAAAGATTTACAAATTTCTAAAGTAATTTTATACATACATGTAATTTATTATCAGAAAAGTCCATAGAAAAAATCAAGAAGAATTCTTCATCATACCGACAATTCAGAACAAATGAGAAAACGAATGTACTTTCAAAAAAAATAAATAGTCGTTTGCTGACTTATTTTTTCTAAAAAGATTAATATTAACTTAGTTCATAAGTATATTATATATGTATGTACGTTGAATTACATACCGCTACAGGTGAGTCGGTAGCTGCCCCAATTACGCCAAATTGACACTTCGTAAAATAAAAAAAAAACATATGAACCAAAATTGCAATAAGTCCAAATGAGTAGAGAATTTTTTACAAAACTTTACTAAATCGTTTAAAATGCATAAATGTTTCGCTACCATTGAAAATTTCGCTCCTTAGTTCAAGAGGTAACGGACTCTTTTTTTGTTAATTTTGCGAAGCCTCGCAACTAGGAAAATTATAATAGTCAAGACCCTTGAAAATTCATTTTGTAATTTTGCTTATATTTAACTTTAAGCTGATGAACAGTTTTAATGTATTATTTTCTTTTTATTGTTTTGACGACATAATTATGTATTTATATTCAACTTTTACTATTAATTTTGTACTGATCAATACAAGTAATATTAACCACAAGCGGTAACAAGCTTAATAAGTAAAATCGTAGTTGATACACTTTTTTGCTATTTAATATGTACGTATTAGAAAAATGTAAGATCGACAGTTTCTTGTTTAGTGTGTTTTTATTTTGATATTAATAAATTCTAATTAAGTTAAAAAAGTGAAATTTCAGTTTTTGTGGGTAAAAAAATTCCTTAAGGTGCTGCCCGCTTAGATGTCACCATCAAGATCCTGAAATGGATGTACATCAAGATAGTACGACCAATAGTGAGCTATGGGGCAGTGGCTTGGGTATCGAGAACGCCCTAGCCACAGTAAGAAAGTCTCTCACCAAACTACATCACATGGGCACATTGCTGAACATCACCCAGTTTCGGGGAATGTTGCTGAAGGTTGAAATAACGGTTTCGTAATGATTCAAAGTTTTAAGAAATAAACATTTCGATACCCGAAAAAAATCAAATTATTAATTATTAAATGACCTTTTGTTCTAATTATTATAGTTTATTCAGTAAAATTTACTGCATTACATTTTTAACGAATCCAAAAATAACTTATTTCCTTTT